ATGCACATTAACTACAAACAAGACGAATCTTCACTTAGAAATATTATAAAGAAATACACTACCCCAATTGACTCGAATAAAAAAAATGAAATTAATTATCTACTACAAAAAATTTGAAACAGCTAACCTTATCCTCAAAAATAACAACACACCAGCGAAATCAAAATTACAAAGAATGAACATTATCTATGAGTTCAAATTCCCCTTAAGGAACTGTGTACCTGATCAAACCAAACTCATAAATAATTACATCAGTCGTACAACTACATGCCTATCCAGACGCCTTTCATTACACCTACCTGACCACAGCTCTATTAGAACCCATTTAAACACATACATAAAACATACTAGTAGAAAACACAAACATAATAATTTCATCCACCTGTAAAAAAAGATTAATAATAATGGAAGCCCTAATAATAAAAAAAAAGCCAACACTTAATATTAACTACGAAAAAGGCCACAATATACTGTAATTGGAAAATAAAACATCTCTATAATACTAAAAACATATAAACAAGGTACACCCCCAATTAAATTGGAAAAATAAAATCATCCTTGATAATGGCTAAAAGTCTAGCTGAATGCACTCAGAATTATAGAAGATTTGGACATTTTCTACACACTCTGTGTCCAAGAAAGAAAGCACTTGTTTGAACACAAGAAAAATTAAATAAAAAGCTTAATCATAGTACCTTATCTGTCATTTTTAATGAAACATGCATATATATATATATATATATATATATAGGACAAAATATTGCAACTATTCAAATATTATATTCAATTAAAAAGATGCTGTCTTGTTGCTTATGAACCTACTAGAATGAAAGGGCTTTGGTTTTACCTAAACAATGGAAAAGGTTAAGTTCAAAGGTCAAGTAGGATGAGTTAAGGTGAAGGAAGAGTGTATCCTTTTCAATTTTATATAAAAATCCTTTGTCCATCAACTTCAGTATTATATTGTCTGTCTACTTATTTTGTCTTGCCTTTCTCTTAATTCTTTCTGTGTAATAGAACAACAATCCTTCATTGTTAATGTTTGATTTCTATGCATGTGTGCGTGATGTTATTCTATATATTCTTATATGACAAAAATATCTCAATTGTTGTGTAGTGGTTTGCACATGATACTGCCAAGAACAGAAAAGGCAGTATATGTTTATTAGTTTTATATTTTAGAATAATGAACAAAGTGAGTGTTTTTACATTTACAAATATAATAATAATAATAAAACAGATTGTTAACACCTAACAAAACATGTTGGCCAGTAAATAATTACTGTAAGTTAATGCATTTAAAGGTGAGCAGATTTTCTAAACAAAATGCTCAATATTTAAAAATAGAGAGAAGAATTATCATCTGATAAATGCTATAAATATAATATCTGTTAATGAATACAATAGATTTATCTTACCATGACCAACGTGGTATTTTTGTAAAACTTGAAATTGAAAAAATATATATATATAATTTATATCTACATTTATATATATATATATATATATATATATAGAAATTTTGAAAAACAAACAAAAAATCCATAAATGTAGTTAAAATGAAAATTCTTTTACATTTATGGATTTTTGTTTGTTTTTCAAAATTTCTACATTCTGTCGGATTTATATCCATTTAGATTTTGCTTATATATATATATATATAAAATGTCTTTAAAAAATTAATTGTCGGATTTTGTCCATTTCATAATGTGTGATGTCATTTGATTACATTTGCATATGCATTGAGCAGATATGAATGTATGAGAGAAAATCATGGATAATTGTGTTTAAAAACAGTAAGTAAAATCAACCTGGCTAACCGAACGCTCCTCTGTGGCCCAATCGGTTAAGGCACGTCAGGCTATATGACAGTTCCGTATAGGATACATGTTCGATTCCTGTCAGAGGACACATATTTTCTGTAAAAATTTCTTGGACATTCAGGTCGGTAAATATTGTTAATACTATTTATTATAAACAGAGCATTTACTTAAATATTTGTATCTATAAAAAGAGTGTATGAACATAAAAAATGTCTTTAAAAAAAAAAAATATATATATATATATATATATAGTTGGATTTATGTGAGTTTGTGACCCTGGGTTTCATGCTTTTGCGATCGTCAGAGTTTGTCTGAAAAAAAAAAAATAAAAATCGTAAAAAATATGAATTTTTAATGTATAATGTACAGATTAAGTGTTAAAAATTGTAAATAAATTTTTGGGTAAGAAAGAATTTGGTGCTTAATAATCGTTTTTTGTGAGATTATTGTATTTTTTATATTCCTTAGGTTTTTGTATTTTTTATTTTTGTGTTCTTTGTTTTTATTTGCATTTTTATTTGTTTCATTTTTATTTGTTTTTATTTATGATTTTGGGATTTTTTGTTTTTAATTGTTTGTTGTGTTTTTTGTCTATGTTTTTATGAGAGGTATATTTATTTAGTTCGTGCAGAAAAGGCCTATTCAAATATTAAATAATTAGTGGATTTAAGTCAATACTTAGGCTAGTCAGACCATGTATCCATATTACTGAAACCAACATATATCCCATCTTCTCTTCGGGAGAAAAAGTCAACCTTGAATCAAGACTGTCCAGGGTGTAAGCAGAAGTTTATGTGTATCTAGCAAGGGGACCAATTGGAACATTTTTGAAGAACCATATTTGGAATCTTATGTGGCAGCTGTGGTTTGTTATATAAAGTAGTATTAACACTGTCACCATTGATAAACCTGTCTGTATATATCCTAACTAGAAACCATGGATGACAAAGTAAGTCCAGTCTCTCCTTTGGGATGGAAATACTGCCTCTGGCAACACAGCCTTATTTAGGGTTAACATGGGAGGGAGGCATTAAGGCAAGCAAAAATAAATTACAAGAAAAAGATCAAGAGCCACTTTAATAACAATGATCTTTGGCATGTATAGCAGGGTATCCAACATATCATTAACAGCAAATCTAGGAACAGCAAAATCAATGCCTCACTAGCAGAGGAACTGCAATTGTTTCTTTGCTCATTTTGAGGTTGAATCAACAAAACCAGACACAACAACTCCACCAGTCATAAATGAGGGATTCACCGTTCTTGAGTATGATATGAGGTGTGTGTTCCGTGATTTGAATCTGAAGAAACCTGTTAGGCCTGACAAGAGTGACAGGAAGGATTCTGAAATGTACCAACCAAATCTTTGGGATCTTTAAAAAAATATTTAACTTGTCTTTGTCAAAATCCATGATACCATCCTGCCAAAAAAATTAGCCATCATCATGTCCTTACTGAAAAAAAAGTTATTATTAATGACCTCAGCAATTGTCAACTAGTTACTCTTACACATGAATTGCTTTGAATGATTTATCCAACAGTATATCAAGGCAAGTCTGCCATCTGCTTTTGATCAATGCCAGTTTGTATACAGAGCAAATAGATCAACAGAAGATGCCATTGCCTAAAGGAAAAGAGGTAGTTATGTGAGAATGCCTTTTGTTGACTTCAACTCTTATACAATCACACTGAGCAGACTAGTTACAAAACTCACATGACTAGAACTATCTCAATCCACCTGTCAGGACTTTTTGACATATCAAGAAAATATCAGAATAGGCCTGCACATCTCCCCCACCCTCTTGTGATTAACACCAGGGCCTCACACAGATGTGTATTAAGCCCTCTTCTGTACACCATCTAGATTTGGGATTGTATCTCTATCCATCTCACCAACATTATTAAGTTTGCAGATAACACTACTGTGATTGAACTCATTTTGGGAGGCAATGAAGTGGACTACAGGAGTTTAATTGGCTGCATGGAGCTCAGAGAATAACTTCGTTTTAAAGACAAAGGAGCTGGTGGACTTTTACAGAAATTTCTGTGCTTTTGGTTATCAGCAGATATTCTTTGTGGAGAGGGTAAATAAAATTGAATTTTTGTGGATGTACATTGCAGACGATCTATCTTAGGCTCCTAATACCATTATGAAAGTCAAGAAGGTATAGCAGCAACTCTATTTACTGAAAATTCTCAAAAGAAATAATTTATGAAGGGAAGTGCTGATGAGTTTCTGTCACTGCTCTATTAAGAGTGTGTCGGTGCACTGTGTCAGTTTGGTATGCAAACAAGTGAAACTTCCAATGTTGTTTTTTTATAAATGTTACCCAGAAAATAATCTGTTGTTTGCTGTCCTCCTTGAAGGACATTCTAATTCTTGTCACAGCAGAGTAGAAAACATAATGAAAGACATAATATATTCTAGGTACCACTTGTTTGTACTTTTACCCCCAGAGTGATGTTTTATTTCTATTAGTTCAAGGATGAAGTGGTTGAGGGACAGATTTTATCCTTGGGATCTCTATAAAATGAGCATTGTTGCATGCTAATAATTTTCAACATATGTTTTTTTTTATTTCATGTATGTGTACACCTGGGAACTGCTTTCCAATTTCATTGTGCTTTTCACATTGAAAGGAAAATAAATAAATAATAAATGAAAGAGCTAAAGCTGTGACAATTGGGAAGCAGCTGTAAAGTCAGTAGATTACAATAAGAAAAGTAAAACTTCTTGCTGATTTATTTTGGGTTCATGTGCATTAATATGCTAAGGTCTCTTAATAATATTTTTGGATTTATGTTGTAAAATCTTCTTTGTTATCATGTCTTGCTTTAACTTAACTCATGTAATTTGTTTATTTTACTCCACAGGCTATTTTTTATTAAGCTGCTCCTTCAAGGAAAATATACAGAGTTTAGAACAGTTCATGATGAAACATAATAGACATTCATTGTCTGTTATATTTAACAATATATGTATATATGTTTAAATAAAAATCTGTTGTTCCAATGCACTATATATATATATATATATATATATATATATATATATATATATATATATATAATGTATATAATATACATTAATAATATTTTTGGATTTATGTTGTAAAATTTTTTTATCATGTCTTGCTTTAATTTAACTCATGTCATTTTTTTTATTTTACTCCACAGGCTTCCCTCTGTTTGTAGTAAGTTGTTTGGTCAAAGTTTCAACAGCCAAAAGAGGACAATAGCATGAATAATGAAAAATTTAAACAATTTATGTATAAATAATGAATTGATTCAATAAAGAAATAAAGTATAAAAATGTTTAGTAAAGATTAATAAAGAATATAAAACAAAATAGTTTCATATTTTACAACAAAATAAACTGCTAATTAATGATTTGAACTTAATATTGTGATCATCGTCATCTTATTGTTTTTCTTTTGTTTTCTTCATAGCACTTAAGCTAATCTCTTCTGTAGCTATCTGTAAATAAAATCTCTACTGTTCAACTAAAATTGGCAGAGTATTAAAGGCTATACCCCTTCTAAAATTTAAGCAAAATATTAAGAAAAAGAAAAATAGTGTCAAACTGCTATATAATATCAATTCTTCTATTTGGGAGTTAATGCTGGATAATTTCCTCACAGATGAAAAGGAGACTGGAAGCAATATAGATGCGGTTCCACATTAGAATGCTGAAAATAGTTGGATCATGTGAGCAATAAGGAAGTTTTAAGGAAATATGCAAATGAATAGGATGTATATATTTATAATCCGAAAGAGATAGCTGAAATTGCTGGGATACATAATGAAGGAAGTATTAATCTCATTTACCCAGAAGCTTTATTAATTTAAAGGACAAGATCATTTCTTTTGTACATTGGAATTTGTATTTTGTTTTTCAGTAACAACTCCTTTTTTACATAAAAATAATTTTATTTTTCATTTGCTATGATAAATAAGAAGCAATATTGCAGATATTTTGTTTCTTGTTTTGTTAAATTTGAAGCTTCCCCCACTCCAAGACAATGCCAGATATCCCTGCTAGTTCACACACATATGCACAATTACACCAATGTATAGAGCAAATTTTCACCTGCAAGACTATATTTTCATATATGATCTATTTATTATATGAATATAAGGACATTATACCAATATCAGTTAATAACAATTTTATGAAAACATAAATGTTTGAGAATATTCAAAAAATTTCATAGAAAATAATTGCTTCTCTGACAGGAATCAAACCTGTAACCCTAACGAGAAACATCATTCAGGCAAAGGTCAAAATAAAAACAGAAATTGTCCAACATTTGGATATATTTTATTAAGCTGTTTCTTCAAGGAAAATATACAGAGTTTAGAACCATTCATGACCAAACATAATAGACATTCATTGTCTGTTATATTTAACAATATATGTTTAAATAATGATCTGCTGTTCCAAGCATTATATATATATATATATATATATATATATTCGGTCAACTCCCCAAAATATATGTATTCAAGTTTATATTTAAATTTATAGCTATATTTAAACATTCTGTCCCCAATTTCTATTCATGTAGTTCTTATTTTTAATATGTCCTTCACCTTTACTTCCTATCATCCTCCCAATGATGGAGTTGTGCAATGCTTAACTGAATAGCTGAGAGGATTCATAACTGATTATCCTTCAGCTAGCCTATATATTAGGGGATTTCAATGTTTACTGTAAGTAATGGTTAGTCCACTCAAACAAAACTAATAATGAAAAGAGATATTGATATGACTTCTACATTGCATATGAACTGATTCAAATCACTCACTGGTCTGTGTCAATACCAAAGCAAAAAAATCCTCTGATATCCAATTTCATTGGACAGTTTTTCTATACCCCAAAACTGACTAGGATAACTTCAGTTCTTTCATTGCTGAAGCTCTTCTCTGAACTTTCTTCAAGAATAGCCTGTCTTCTTATTGAGAGCATCCTTTGTGGCATTGGGAATTTTATCCCTTTTTAGAAATACCAACAAAGACCAAAAAGTCAGCCTACCTATACACCTGAATGTGCTGCAGTCATCACTCACTGTAACCACTACTTTCATCTTTATTACTGAAAATACTGTTGTGAGCCTGATGCCACATTGAGAACTGGCCAAAGAGTTACCTTAGACATCCTTTGATGTCCCATTTCATTGGACAGTTTTTCCATACCCCGAAGCTGACTGGGATAACTTCAGATCTTTTATTGATGAAGTTCATCTCTAAACTTTCTTAAAGATGTACCTGTCTCTTCTCTGAGGGCATATTATGATTATTTACTTCTCTAGGCAAATTTTATTTGAAGTTTTGGTCCAAGCTGGTTCTGTTGTTTTTCTTATTCCTCAGGTTATTTTTGGTGTCAAATTAGGAAAAAGCATCTCCTAGTCAGTAATCAGCATCCCCTCAGAATATGCATACAAATTTGGCTAAAGACCACTTAAATCTTTTGTTTATTTTTCTATATTTTGGACCATGTTCTTGGTTTCGACTGAAAGTTTAAATAAAAATTGTCCAGTGTCGGAGTGCTTTCAGTTTTCATTCACCATTATCAAAGAGTTTTTGTTTTTTGTATGATGTCATTTTAATTATTTATCAAATATTATGTCTTTTATAGATGGAAGTTTTTAAGTTTTCATTATTCAAATCAATTAGTACATTAGTAATTAGTAGAATTCTGTTCACAGATTTTTTTACTCTATCCTTGTTGTTAGTTAATAGAAATATAAAATCAACATAATGGATGTAAATTGTTGTTTTTTTTTAATTTTTATTTAGAGTTGACATATGAAATTATGATAGTATTAGAGCAACAGGTGAACCCATGGTGATATCATGAGTTTGCATGTATATATTTCTTAAATGGTCATAAAAAGGAACTTGTATGTTACATGCTAGTTGTAATTGATTGAAAATGATTAATTTTATTTTGTGAAGTGGAAGTGGTGAATGCTGGAAGGTGATTTTTATTGTGATACAATAGATTTAAATAATAAAATTGATTCAGATAATAAAAACTTTAAAACTTCCTATTAAAAAAAAAACAACTTAAACCCACACTTAATTACAGCAGTGAATGCCCACATAAATATAAAATAGCCATCATAAATCTTACTTATTATAAAACGCAGATTGTGTGTGTGTGTGTGTGTCTGTAACGTTTATATATTGGATCGAATTTCCTACATTTTTTAGCCGATTTCAACAAAACTTCACAGGACTACATAAAATTACCTTGTGGTGGTTCTAACGGCACCGAAAATGGGGAAAACACAATTGTTTTTTAACAAAATCAATTTGAAAACACGATTAAGACACATCGTGAGAATGAAAGGGGGACAACTCACCCACGAAAATGTAAACAAAAGAGCATAGCATGATGAAAAAAAAGCCGAACTTGACGAAAACAAAATTTTATCGTCTAATGTTCATATTATTATTAAAGAGGAAAGATCAAAGTATTTTTGGGGTATTTTTTTACATTTTTTAATCGTTCCTAGCACGTCTGAAATTTTCGTTAAAAATATTTTTTTTCAAAAAAAAAAAAAAAAAGGACAGATAATCAATCATTTTCAATCATTTTTTCGATTTGATAAAAAAGATTAAAATCTTGACTTTGATATTCTTTTTAAAAATCAATTATCATTTTTTCAAAACTGATTTTAATAAAAACAGAAATTATACTGTTTATTTAAAATATTTTGAACCAAGCTTAACTTAGCTTCTGCGCCGAAAAAATGTAATTTGAAAATAAAACAAAGCAGGTCATAACCTTTCGCGTCGCTTGACGATTGACGAAAGGCACATTCATGACGTTTAGATAACTTACGGAGGATAATTCTTTCTACGGATGGAAGGAAGTGAAATTATTTAAGTGAACAAATTATTTACCTTGTTACTTTTAAGAAAAAACTTTCAGCGCTCTAATTTTTTTTTTTTTTTTTTTTGTACTTAGCTTTCATTTTTACGTTTACGATGCTTTATGGAAAATATAAAGAAATTAAAAAATAAGACTGTTAATAGTGAGATTAAATTTCATAAGAAAAAGGTATCTAATTAATTTAGGTACCTTTCTTATGAAATTTTATCAGAAGTGTACATAAAATACTATAATTTTATGTACATTTATTACATTTTACTGTGTTATTTGTATTTCCATTCATTTTTTTATTATTTTTTTTGATATTTCATTTATGGAAAAATGTCATAACTGAGATTAATATAAAAATAAGATCATATAAATTAAAGTTTAGCAGTAGTTAAATTTCATAAGATGATACTGTTACTTGTAGGTACCCTTCTCAGTTGAAATTGAAAACTCAAATTAACTTCTCCATACGTGTTTCGCAAAAGTAAAGGGCTTAACAGCGGAGAACAATGCTGAACTCAAATAATGCAACTAAATTGTATTCTGGTTGGTCTTCCGTACTTGATAATTACTGTCCGATTATAAACACAAAAATTACATTTCTTAATTACCATGGCTAATCTGATTGGTCCAAATTATACAATTTTCAAAGCGCTAGACAATGACAATCTCACATGGAGATTTTGAAAGGTTGATGTTGCTTTTTTAACTAATGTTAAAATATTTTTTAAAAATTCAATTTAAAAATTTTTAAAAAAATCTTTTTAAAATTAAAGAAATAAGAAATAATTGTATTAAAAAATTCAATTTTCATTGAAAAAAAAATTTTTTGCTTTCAGAAAATATTGTCCATATTCATAAAAACAAATTAAAACAAATAAAAGCATTTGAAACTAAATAATATATTTGTTTTATTGAGTTTTGTATGTTACAATTCACAGCTGATTTTCAGGTACGCCAAAAAAAAAAAAAAAAAAAAAAAAAAAAAAAAAAACATGATTTGCATTCTTCAAAGCCTTGTGCTTTTAACTATTGTAATCACTAAAACCGATGGTCTCGAATTTCTAGAGTTTTTCATAAAATTAGTTATGGGGGTGTTAATAAATATAAAAAAAAAATATTTCTGCCATGACTTTAATAAAAAAAAAATATTTATAATAATTTCGATCATCTGTGAATAGTTTCTGAAAGTTTCATTAACATCTGACAATTATTTTTATTTTTGCAAGATTTTCCAAATTAATGTGTGTAAATACAAAAAAAACGCGCTAAAAATTATCTATGTTATTTACTACCCCTTGTTGCG